CACACACACACACACGCACTATTATGTCTGTTGATTAGACGATCTGTTTTTTTTTTTTTGTTGTTGTTGTGGTACAACAGTGGTCCAGCTTTTGAACCTGGCACAACAGTGACGACTACCGGTAGTTCATCAGCCAGGCACATACAAACTGCGGGCTGCGCACCCATGCCCTCACGGCAACATTTTGTCTTCCTAGATTCCAAGAATGTAACCCTTTTGGAAGAAAGAAACACTCAAAAAGCTCCATGTCTGTAAGAAAGAAGAAAGAAAGAAACTAGCTCCCTATCTGCACCATTCAGCCACAAAGGGCCACACCCGCTGGGGTTAGCCGGAATGAAAGCCGGGATAACCCAGAGGTCCATTGCCAACGCCAGCTCAATGTCTGTGAGAAGGCAAGAAAGAAGCTCCATGTCTCCCTCTCCATGTTCCATTCAGCCAGAAGGGCCACGAGGGCTGGGGTTACCCTGGACTTCCCGGGGGTCCATTTCTATTATGGCCGCAAAAAGAATCGCAAAAACGGCCATGAGGATGACCCACTGGCATAAACGGCCCAGTGGAACAAGTCCCTGCCTCGAGAGACCTTTCGAAGAATTTGCCGGGGTCCAGGTCGCCCCCTTACCCTCATTCTCCATTGCCTACCGTCAATGACAGCGATTGACGGCAATTGACGGCGATTGACGGCGATTGATGGCGATTGACGGCGATTGACGGCTAGAAGCCAAGAGTCCGGGCAGGTGGGACATCGCCCCCAGAGGCCGACAGACGAATAGTTCTTGACATGTCGTGGCTTCCGACGACCTTGTGCGCCTCCCATGGCCCAAGGTGTGGGTGTGATTATTTTTCGGTAGTGACTATGGGCCCAAGGTGTGGGTGTGAGTAGCGACTATGGGAGTGGCCCAAGGTTTATACGGTAGGCCCAAGGTGTGGGTGTGACTAGTGACTATGGGCCTCACTACACTTCCTGCCAAATGTTCAGAATATAAGCACATAGCGAAGTCACAGTAAAGACAAGTTCAGTTTTGGGCCCTCGAGGCCCTCGATCCGCCAGTCGCCCAATGTTCAAAATGAGAACGATTTGTTTGCCAGAACAACGGAAAGATACATCGAGAAATTTTGTCTTTTGTGCAAGCAGTGAGTGGTGCGAGGCCCTTCCCTTCCGTCCCCTCCCCTTTTCTTTTTCGGCGTCCCATTTTCCATCCATATCGCAACACAAATGCTGGCATGCTGGCTTCCTCATTGTGCGCTTTTTACCTTGCCCTGTTCGGCGTATGTTTGCATACGACTACACACGGAGCTTAAGATACGAAAAGGTCTCGAACTTGGTTTGTCAGTTCTGCTCAAGATTCGATCCGTGCTCCAGCTATCAACAGTCGAAGGGTGTACCTCTTTCGGGTTTTCTGGGTCTTTTTTGACGGGGGGTAGTCTGTACCACACACCCATGTAACATCGCCGCCCTTCTCCCTGCCCACACGATACCGCCTGCTACACATAGTACGGTCTGCCCCGCATTGTACCCCCAAAACTCTGTCCCATATAGTTCTGCCTGGTCCGTGTGGCATGGCCCACCCTACCTTATCTGTACAGTATCGCCTGGGCCACATTAGACCCCTCAGCCTACGTGGTGACGCCTGGCAGGCACGAAGACCCATTTGTATGTCATGTTTAGCATGTGTTTATTTTTTCGGGAATGGCAGTCTGTGTTCTTTTTTTTGCGGGGGAAAGTGGGGGTGCAAGCGTCTGTGTTGGTATTAGCTGCTCTACATGGTATACCCTGCACAACATAACACCACCCTGCCAGCATAGCACACCCTTGCTGTGCACCACGACGACCATGACGACGACAACGACAACAACAACAACAACAACAAAGGGTCTGGTAAATGTCTGGCCCCCAAAGGGTTGGCCACACCAAAACCGCTTCGATTGCGCTGCAAGAGCGAAAGGAGTTCGCACATGCATACGTGATCTACTCCCAAGGGTTGACTTTCGTTGTGACCCGTGCTTCGTCCTCCCAGAGGGCCTTTTATTGGCGCCACCCTTCTCGCACCAGTTGCGCCAGAAGAATGCCGACACTCAAGGTAGAGCGCTCTCTCACTCCTGACCAAGAGAGACAACGTACCCCATTTATGTTGCCCCCAACCACAGATTTCTCACCAGCTGAGATGACCTGCCATTTGATGACAGGTCATAGCTTCGGGACCACCAGCAATACGATGCAAGTGCCTCCTCAGCGATGGTAGCATCACATCACTCACATCACAAATCATACATCCCTTGTCTACCACCAAGCCTTCCGGCCGGCTCCCTCTCCACCCAGGGACCATCTATGCCACGTCAGCATAATCGTGCATACACTGTACGGGTGCACCAAGACATAAGATAAGAAAGCGCTGGAGCCGAATGGAGAAGGCCTACGAACCAGCTCCGGCACCGAATTGCAAGGAAAGTCTTAGAGCGAAATGAGAGTGACAACAAAGTTCTCACTGAACCAGGTTGCAGCGTTCCACAGATAAGGAGATAACTTCGAGCCAAAACCGAACGCAGAACGCACAGCAAAATCACACCAAGTAAGATCGAGCAAGCATTGTGAAGTCACATGGTAATGAAAGCCCCTTCTCGCCTCCAATCACCAATGCTCAACAATGTAGCAATCCTACGTGGGTGGCTCTCTGCGCCCAGACTTCTGACAGACGCTCTGCTAGCCTGGACTTCCTACGCTACAACAGGTCAGCAACAAAGATCATCAGCCCCTGACCACGCGCGACGACTCTGAGTGAACAGCCGCTCTCTTCCACATCATGTGAGTGCCTCATTACAGCGCTCAACCCGCACCTCATACCCGACCACGGTCCCTCTTTGCCCAAGGACCCCCTCCACTCCCCACTCAGCTTGTGAGTGTGCAGCCCGGCTATGGCTGCCGCTCCCCTGCTCGTGCACCCTGCTAGTACAGCTCCCTTCTCTGGCAGCCTCCTCCAGCATGCGCTCCCGCACGTCCAAGCACCCAGAATGTACGAAGTGAGCCGGCCTCCCTTCTTTTTGTGCTCGCTGCGAGGATCTGGCCTTGCTGGACTGGCTGCGCCTGTCCCAGTACCCTCTACGCACTGGGCCCTTTCGAAATCTGCACGGGGCCCAACTGTAAGTGTCCTGGGCCTCAAAACCTTTGCCTGCACCTGAGCATCGCAACCAACCAGGGTTTGGTCCCTACCGGTTGGTTGGAGATGCTGCATGCAGCAACCAACCAACAGGGCCCATTTTCTTCTCAGGCTGGCCTGAAATCAGGCCAAGGCCAACCTGCCTTCACTTACGCCCCGCAGCGCCTTTTTACCGGCTTGCTGAGGTGCTCAATCCCCACAGAAATCTTCGAAAAGGCGGACCAAAAAAAAAAAAGAAAAAGAAAGGGCGGAGTCCGACACACGGATCAACAGGCAAAATCTGGATGAGCTATTCTATGAGTGTGAGAACGTTTGTGCTAGCAGTGAAAAGGACAGGTCACACTTGAAACAAGTCACACTTGAAATCGTAACACAACACAAAGTATGTCTCAGTACACAAGTACATTCCTTTGCATGTCCCGGCAGGTAATTAATTGGCTACACAAAATCTGGATGAAATTATGTGAATGACGCAAAGCCCTCTCATGCAGGTGGACAAATTTTCAAAACTAATTCAAATAAAATAAAATCCTACTCACGAATCGACATAATCATCACTCTATGCCTATTCGCAAAATGAACGAAATGATCTTCAACACTGAGGGCATACTCACACTGGCACTTTTCCGGATGTATATGGCCTCTTTTCCGACATGGCCAAGATGCACCTAACCACTACATGCGTCCACAGAGGAGGGAAATAAGTCCTAGTGTGAGTATGCCCTGAGAAAGATAAAGCGCGGTAAGTGGATGTGGCTGCAATCTGCAGAATGAACAGCACCCCCCCCCCCCCCCCCCCCCCCCCCCCCCCCCCCCGCCCAAAAAAAAAAAAAAGAAAAAGAAAAGAAAAGAAAAGAAAAAGATGTCCGAGACTCCGAGTCAGACAGAGTGCGGTAAGTGTCAGAAACAAAGAGAAGAAAAAAAAAAGAGAAGGAAAAAAAAAAAAAGTCAGTGACAGCAATAATAACAGAAGGAACTGATCTCTGAGTCAGCTACAATATAATAAAATTTATTAAATTATAATAAAAATGAAAAAATATATCGATGCTAACTTTGTAAGTGAGAGCAATAGCAAAAACGAAAACTACAGCAAAAAAAACAAGGATATGCTTTTTCAGCTCGAAAAAGCTGTAGGCAATAATAGGCAGGGCTGATGTGGCAGAGACTATGAGAAAAAGGAAAAAGGAAAAAAGCAAAAAACTTCAAAAAAGGAAAAAAGGGAAAAAAGGAAAAAATGAAAAAATGAAAAAGGGAAAGAAAAAAAAAAGGATGGACACTATGTTGCAGGAAAAACCAAGGACAACGCTTGCATGCATTTCTGGACCCCGAACTCAAGAAACGAAAGATCCGCCGCGGCAATACAGTGGAAGCGACACATGTCGCTTCTCCTCTCTCCTCAATCCTACTCGCTAACAAAATATACGTCAAAAAAAAAAAAAAAAAAAAAAACCAGCAACGCACCCTTCACATGGTGGACCTCTGTCATGACTTCGTAACGCTGCTCAAATTTCAAATTGCTCAACTATGTAAAATGTTGCGCCGCATAGAACCGTCAAAATGAACTGTACTTGCATCCTCTCAGCAAAACATAAATGTCCGATTTTGAGAGCTCAGCATACGGCGACTCCGTGCGGTCCCCACCACTCTCTCCAGCTGGAAAAATAAACGATGAAGTCGGATAACAAAAAGTTAGGTTGCAAAGCTCCAAATTTGTCAAAAAAAAAAAAACAAAAAAAAAAGAAAGAAAGAAAGAAAGAAAGAAAGAAATTTAGGAGCAGGAATGACAACAATCATCAAAATTGGGAAAATTAAAAAAAAAGTGAAAATGTGAAAATAAATTAAATAATTAATTAAACCACCACTACCTCCGACCGTGTTTTTGCCAAACCTGAATTTCACTGCGCACCGAGTTTTGCCGAGCCTGGGTCCCATCCTTATTTTCTTTTCTGGTACTCACGGCAGTGACATCTGAAAAAGAACCAAGAAAATAAAATAAAGAAGAACGAAAAAAAAAAAAAAAAAACTTCCCTAAAGCCGTGATAGCCATCAGATACATTCTCTGAGGTGGTGTTGGGACTGTGTCCTCAGTGAGGACGTGCATCCCATGGAAAATAAATGAAGAGGAAAAAAAAAAAAAACAATCCCTAATACTGTCATTACGGTCCGATACAGGACGCTACGGAACTGGTGCCCCTCGTGGAATCCACCCTGCCCTGCCCCACTGGCAGGGCACAAACAGCACACTGAAGAAAACAAGTAAAAAAGAAAGAAATGAGCATGCATGTTCCCCACATACTGGCCAGATACATACCTCAAAGCACTGGTGTTCCTTTCACCCCGGTGAGGGCCTTCTACGGATGAAATCAAATGAAGGGCAAGAAAACAAAAAAAAAATCCCCTTATGCTGTGATCGGGGTCCGATACAGGACAATACAATGACAGGGCCCCGCTGCACTACTCTCGACATGCGTCTTTCCATATTCTAGCGGAAGATTCACTCTCGTTTTGCACATTTCGAGAGTAGCGCAGCAAGGCCCACAGTGTGAGCAAGACGTGAGCGAGGCGGTTACCTGCGTCGCGTGGAATCCGCCCTGCCCTGCGTCACTGGCAGGGCACGAGAAGGAAACGTGGCCCGTGCCCTGCCAGTGAGGCAGGACGGATTCACAAAAATGAGAACGTTGCACATTCACATTCCAAACATGCTGGCCAGATACATTCCTAAAGGCACTGGTGTGACTTCCGCCATTGCGAGGGCCTCACCGACATCGCGGGATTCGAAGCTCTCAGTTCTTTTTTGATTTTTTGTTTTCTCTCTCCGGGAAGGGGGGAAGCGGGGTCGCAATCTTTTCCTTTCGCTTTTGTTTCCTGCCGACCCTACACCAGACCCCCGAACTTTGCCGTTGAGGTCAAATGGGACTACAGCTTGGAAAGGTACTCGTGGTTTAAAAAAAAAAAAGAAAAAAAAAAAAGAACCTTCCAATTGGCATCGACGTCTCACACTGTTGATGCTGGTTGTGGCGGACCTGTCTGCGGACATCAGTTTGCCAATCACCACCTGCAAGGACAATCATATTATAAAACGACCCAAACCCCTCTTTCCTTTGCTGTCATCGTTATCCTCCTCCTCCTCCTCCTCCTCCTCCTCCTCCTCTGTGTCTCCTCTCCTCAAACGTTTCGCGCTGGTGAAGTACATGAGAGTGCGATGTTGACTGTCATCGCATGTATGAAACAAAAACTTGCATGGACTATGCCTTCATAATCCTCACGACACAAGGCATGTGAATCGCATGGTAGCTGAATCTCAGGTGGGCCATCGCAGAGCGGCATTGAGCAAGTTTCTTGGGTTTCGGCAGTCGTTATTTCCTCTCTGTGGACGGATGACGATGGGGCCTGATCTAAAGCAAGAGTGTTTAGCTTTGCAGGATGTGGTCTGCAAAACTGCAACAGCTCGCCGAGCCTCGCCCTGGTGGTGATAACCTATCAGTACAGCGCTCTGTAGGAGGTCCATATGGTGGTCTATTTTCCTCTTCAGGCTGCTGTGTCAGTTGTTCGTTCATCTGGCGAGCATGAAGGAGATCCGACTGCGGTTGCAGTCGGTGTATCCCCAGCGCTGCATGCCAGAGATGCTAGGAGAGGATGTGGCGGGTGATGGCATCAGCGATAGTTCACGCGGCAGAGACACATATACTTTCTATGACAGCTTCCTTCCTGGAAACACTGATGACACATGGCATGTTGCTGACATGTAATCAGGAAAGCAGGCTGACATTCGCAGTTATTTGAGCATGGCATATCAAGGCCACAACAGCATGCCGGGCAAGTAATTAAGGAGTTGTGGGGGGCGGGGGGGAGGAGTACAAGACAATGGGTCGCAGTTTTCGCAACAGAGGCTAGCAGTGACCATCCCTTCACAGTGTTCGTAGCAGAGACTATGCCGTGTGCATGCTAACTGAACTGTAGCTGTGTGGGGACACAATGGCATGGCACAGCCACGATCCTCTGGTTAGGCCCCTTCCCTATCTGTTGTAGAATCAGTCCCATTACACAGGTAAGGGATGCTGCTTGCCTATGTGCAGGGGATGGAGGAGGTTCAGCCAGATTGCCCTCCGTAAGCTGTAGAGCTTGTGAGTGCACGTCCACATGCTGTTCCTCATTCACCAGCCAGAGTGTGTCATCCATGCGCAGGGGCCATGCTAACCTTCTCTGTATCGTTCCAATTTTAACAGATGTCCCGAAGAACAAGCGAGTGAATGAGATTCTACCGCCTGGTGATACAAAGATTTACTATTTCCCTAAGTGTGAACCTTACCCCCATTGCCCCATAGGGTCCATGAATTATCCGCAAATTTAACAGCACTGAAATGACCTGGACGATGCAAGATGTACGCACGAATTATCGGGTCCGTGTCTGGCATGTAATTCTGAGGAGCGGGCTGGAGTTGTCGTCGTCTTCCCATTAATGCGATAGATAAGACTTTTATGTTCACAATGTACTACCCAAGTAATGTGGCTTGCTTGACTGTGCATCACCTGGGGCTGGGAGGGGCTTTCAAGGCTTCGCGCTTGGCCCTGCCTAGCCCCGGTGCCTAGAACTACTGTCTGGTCCAAGTTGCCCTCTGAAATAGCACGGTGATAGTCCTGAGTACTCAATACTGAGGCAGGATAGTACAGATAGGGGTGCGCTAGGCGAATTGCCGCAAGGATGGGTAAGGAGGTGGTCTTCTGGAGCATAAGGGAGTGTCAGGACAGCCAATAGCTGTGGGAGTAACCCCGCACGTCCGGGGTCCGGCTTCTACAACAACCTGGTTTTTTCTTAAACCACTAGTACCTTTGGCATCCGGTTTCGACAAGTACTTGCCAGCTCCCGAACTTTCAGGAGGCCGTGCCCGGCGTTGATCAATCTGATCGGCGGACGTCGTTTCGTTTCGGCCTCCTGAACGGAGGCCGAGTATTTTCGAACCGACAAAGGTACTAGTAGGGAAAAAAAAAAAGAAAAGACTTCTATGTTCAGGCCAGGCGCAGTACTGTCATCCTTTGTCCAAACCGCACAGTGCTCTTCTTCTATCCAGCGGACAGTGTCTGCAAAACAGAGAAACAGTATAGGGGTTGGAATTGTAAGCAAGAAGACAGACATTAACGGCAGAGCACAATGGCCTCACTGTAGCACTATGAGATCATTTGATTCTGCAGGTTGCTCGGCAGGGTGTTTATTGCGGTCTTGACTGCTGCTGCCACGTTCCTCCGGCTGTAGTGACTCCATTGACTGTAGCATGCGTTCCGGACAGAGTGGCTCCATTGGCTGTACTTGTGCTCAGGGTGGCTGCTAGTCATGCAAATGCTTCACAGGTGGCTGCACCTCATGTCTGGTGCACATGCAGCCCTGCAGCAATGAAAAAATCATCGCCACATTGTGGCTGTCGGACTCGGTATGTAGTATTCCTGGCTGGTGCGTATTGAGAGTGGCAACGTCATTCCGTCCGGTTATGAGCATGGCGGCGGGGTAGATCTCTGACCCCCTGCATGGGCCACGGTGATCATACTATACACGGACAAACGAGGCCGCTGTCGAGGAGGCGGCGGTGGAGATGGGGAACGTCTCCACCAAAGAGGCCTCTGTGACGACCGACTTGACCATGGATGCCTCCGCCGATGAGGCCTTTGTGACGACCATGAATGTGTTAATGTAACTTAATGTCAACGATGACGTCGATGGCGAAGGGGGGGAATGGGAGGCGGAGGAGGGGGAGGAGGAGGGGGAGGAGGAGGAGGTAGGAGAGGATGAAGAGGAGGAAAAAGAGGAGCCAGTTGACAGAGGGGATGATGCAGTAGAAGATGTAGGTGGGGGAGCTGGTGGTGATCGTGGTGGTGGTGATGATGATTATGATGGTGGTGGTGGTGGCAGTTGTGGAAGAGGAAGCCCACTTGCAGCAGCAGTCGTCGCATTGGTAGGATTCAGGCCATCATCCCCTGCAGCCACTTCGACAACAACATTTATATTGTCTGCTGTGGTTGGCCTTGTCTCCAGCTGAGTAGCCGTATGCACATCAGCATCTGCCCTTTGGGTAGGAATAACAGGAGAGGGCGGGTCGGCTGTGTTTGGCTGTTTGGAAGGTTGACGCTGCCTGTTTTCGGCAGTGGTGTTCGGGAGTGGGTGGGGGCCCACTGCATGGGGTTGTGTGGAGGACTGATGCTGCCTGTCCACGGAATGAACATTCGGCATTGGGTGAGGCATTGAAGTGGTGTTCGGGAGTGGGTGGGGGCCCACTGCATAGGGTTGTGTGGAGGACTGATGCTGCCTGTCCGCGGAATGAACATTCGGCATTGGGTGAGCAATTGCCCAGTGCACCATGCGGCAAAACCAGTTTGAAACTCGTGTGACTCGAGTGGCTGGCCAACGCTGCCAGCCATGCACATATGCAGTCCAGCCTCTGGCCAGGACACTGGGAGCAAGCATATGCCATGTCAGGGAGGTCACTGTTGCTTTGAAGTCGGTGTTCTCGTTACAGATATGTTTGTGTGTGCTGTTTTGAAAAACCCCAGATTCTCTCTCTCATTCCCTTCACAGATCATCACAAGCCATCCATAACCAAAAAGTATAGATAAGGCAATATAATAGAAAATGCAAGGTTGGCCACGTTCGTGTGATTCAGCACCAACTGCCCACACACCCGTCTGCCGCCAAAGCGGCACACTTGCACATACATATGCATGCATATATATTGCAAACCATAAGGGGATGGAGGGCAGAGGGCATACGTGCATGCGTGTGTGTGCATGTGCATGTGTGTGTGCGTGTGTGTGTGTGTGTGTGTGTGTGTGTGTGTGTGTGTGTGTGTGTGTGTGTG